CTACCATGACAGGTGGTTAGGGTTTCAGATGAAGAATTAAAGGCAAAAAAAAAAGGATGAATTTATATTAATTTAACCTAATCGCTTTTATTTATGCAATAAAAAAAATACTGTCAAATAATATCACTAATTAACGTTTAAATCATTCTCTTGTTTATAACCGGAACATTAACAGTTTGTTTGTTTACTGGAACACTCTGCAGACAATAGGAGTGTTATATACAGAAATGATGTAAATATAATAATAACGTAAGGATGGTTATAAGAACTATCGAAATAGTAATTCGATATATGCAAAATAAATATCGATTGATATTCCGGTGTATGGTTGAAATATTTTTCTTTGAAAATAACGAATAATCAATGAAAAATGCTTTTAATCTTTAAAGGATATAGTACAGGATTAAAAAGTCGATATGTTTCATATTTATGAGCAATAATTAACTATGGATATATTGCTTATTAAAAAAAATTATCAATTTATTAAAATTGGCCAAAAAAAATTAAGATAAAATATAATATGAAAAAAAATTAAAAATTATGGAAGAAAAAATAATAAACGATTTTTTAAAATCCACAAATTTATTAAAATATATTATTTGTTAGAAGATTTATTTACAAAAAAAAAACAACAGAGAAAGATGAATTAGTTGTTCAAGGAAAAAATAAAATGAATCTTATATATATATATATATATATATATATATATATATATAATTTCCTAGTCAGGTTTGGTGCCATTTTCTCATAAGTTTTTATATATATTAGGCCAAAGGTCACCAAATGTACACAGTTTTTTACATCCTGTATTAGTTATTCGACGTTTAGGCTTCAGGAGCCATTTTCAAGATCCTGCAAACTAATTTTAATTCAGTTTTTACAGTTCAAAATACCTTCTTATCCGACACATAATATTTAACAACTATTATATATAGCTATATATACTTATAGTTGTTAAATAATATGTGTTTGATAGGGATGTATTTTGAACTGTACAAACTGAATAAAAATTAGTTTTCAGGATCTTGAAAATGGCTCCTGAAGCCGAAACGTCGAATAAATAATACAGGATGTAAAAACTGTGTACATTTGGTATATATATATATATATATATATATATATATATATATATATGTGTGTGTGTGTGTGGGGGTTATTTTATAGTTTTTGAGAAAAAAAATAGTCAAAATTTCAGAGTCAAATTTTGTTATCAATATATTTCAATAAAAATACCAATATTTTTTCATATTCCTAGTTAAAAAACCTTCATCAGGATGTTTTGTTCTTCACTTCATAGCATAAACCCTAATTAGACAATGAATATTCTATTTTGAACGAATATTAATTAGATTAAATAGTAAGGAAATAACAAATAAACTAAAATCAGCAAATATAATTTACGTTACTAGATATTTAAAAATAAAAAGAATTAAATATATATCTAGCCCCGCTGTAACAGAAAAATGTGAGTAACAAAGACAGACCGGGATGTGCGAGAAACCTTTTCATTTTTCACGAGAGATGGGACAATGAGGCTAATCCAGCTTCGCCCTCGTTATGAGTTCCACTCACACGGATCAGAACTGTCGCTAAAAGTTACCATCCATTCTCTGCTCTGTCACAACTAAATTGAGTTTATTTAGCTTGAAATAGGAAGCGGATATTAAAAAAGAAAATACCAAGGGTTCCTTGAATACGTTTAGCAATACCAAAAACATTTTCTTCATTGCATTTGTAAAAAAACGAGGAAAAAACCGAATAAAAATAATTCAAAAACTTCTATTTATAACATCTAAGAATTTTGTTAGGAAAGTAGTTTATTATTAACAATTTTTTGGGAAGTGAATTTACAGAAAGTTATCGATGAGACAGGATAAATAAAAATGAAACGAGTGTTATAGCATTAAATATTTTGTGAGGTTTTTAATATTATCTGTAAATATATTATATGTTGATATAATATAAAAATCCGTTCAATACTACGATCAACTAAATTTCTACTGTACCAAGAGTCCTCATATGACTGGTTGTGACATATGGGTGTGAAAAATGTATGGACAATGAACAAGAACACCGAAAGAAAATACGAGTTTTTTGGTATTTCGGTAGATTTTTGGGTCAGTAAAGGAGAATAATAAATGGATAATACGACACAACTAGCCATATTATATAAGGAGCCGGATTTGGTGAAATATATCTGGATAGCAAGACTTATAAACTGCTCAATGTAACCAGGTGGAAAAAGAAAAGTGGAAAGACCGAAGCTGAAATGGATTGATTGAGTTACTGTCGATGCGAAAATTCTCAGCATCAGAAAAAAGTAAATGGTTGCTTACAACAGAAGAAAGTGGAGGACGATTCTTGAGGCAGCCAAGATGAAATAATAGATTGTAGAGTTCGGTATGTTGATGATGACGATGAGGATCGATAAAAAATATTTGTTTGAAATTTCATAAGTTTTACAGAATTAAAATCACAAGAATTGAGAAAAAAATTGTGGAAATATTTTTGTTGCCATCATTAAAAAAAACAAGAATTTGTAGTCATACTTTTGTTTTTCTACTTTATTTTCATTCGGCTTTAAACTGTTATTTTACTTATCTTGTATATTACTTTATCTTTATATACATTTTTTATTTTATTTTTATTTGTTCCTAGTTTGGTTGCTTATATTTCTTTTCCTTTATTATGTACTTATTGTGTGAATGAATACTAGTACCAATGTCCTTCAGTGTGGCAGACTGTATCAAAACTCAATAAAAAAAAAACTTTTGTTTTAACTTAAATAACAGTTTTAAATTGCTTTAACTGATACAAATCAAAATCAGAAAAAAGTTGGTAAAATAAAAACATTAACATAAAATTATAATCTTTTTTCCTTTTTAAAAATTTAATTCCTCTATTCACATCTAGAAATATTGACAACCACAGAGTATGCTGTCGGAAAGTTAAAGAGTGTAAGACAAGACAATGATAGGTGTGAGGAAGAGTAGTGCCCAGCCCTCCTTCCTATTATTAATTTATAGTTGAGCGAGGAAATATCAATCAGCTTTTTTTAGACTTCCTACGGTTGTTATCGTTTTTTTTTTTAAATGTGAGCATAACTTGTATCAGTTTATTAATATCTACCTGTAAGTTATCATGAAATCTTTTTTAGTGTTTCCATGTGTGATCGATAACTGTTAGCATGTGAAGGTCTGTATGTAAAGTACTAAATGTTTTTTTAATTAGTTATTTATAAATAATGAGATGTCAGATGAAGAATGAGATGTAAGAAAACTTCCTGAAAAAGAGGAAGAAGGCCATTTCGTTATGTGGGATGTAAAAAATAAAAAAATGAAGTGAAATAAACTGGACAAGTAAAGTAAGTTTATAGAAAGTAATTAATCGCAGAGGGATATTATGTTCCGCCGTTGAGGCTCCTACAAAATGTCCCTTTCCGAGAATCATATCCAAACGAAATAAAAATTAATACCGCCTCGGAAACCCACTCACTCCTCCACCACCACCCTTCCTACCGAGAAGGCTAAATATAATTCGCTAATGGTCCGGTCCAAGGAGTGATTAAGGAAAAAAAACAAGGGCTTGGAGGAAAAGGATCACCATCCCAAGCTCTCTTCTTTGGCAATAAAGGATAACAACTACTCGCAAATAGCGGCTGAATTTTAATTTTTCTAGAAGGCTGTTGATCATTCATTAACTAATCTCCATGATCTCAAGCAACACGCTTTATTCAAAAATCCACCTTTCGGCGTATTATTTAGAATCCTTATTATAGACTTGAGGGGGAGTTAAGGTTTAAAAAAATTAGTATTAAATATTGAAGGAGCAAACATAACCAGAAAATTCTCAAAGATGATAGAGAACATTATTTTTTTTTAACGTAGAAAGATTCGGATCAGCCATGAGGGGAAGAGGGGGAGTGGGAGAGGGAGAGAGAGTGAAAGAGAGAGAGAGAGAGAGTGTGTGTGTGTGTGAGAGAGAGACTTTACGAAAGTTAAGTTTTTCAGCGAAATTTTGGAATTTAAACGTGAATATATAATTGCTATAACTTTTAAGGGTTGAAAATTAAATAGCAAAGTAATATATATATATATATATATATATATATATATATATATATATATATATATAGTTTGCTAGTAAAATAAATATAAATACAAAAAAAGGCAAACAAATTTATTTTTTTCGAAATTAGTGAATATTGAGGACGGATATCTCAGAAAATATACAAGATGACGAAAAAAAAAATTTAATAAATAACGTTGCAAATTGTATAGTGTCTCTGATGTAGAAACCAGAAAGCGGAAAAAAAATGAACTAAAATTCAAATTCTCGAATTGAAATTCCCGGATGTAAAGAAACTAAGGGTCATTTCATGTTTTAGAGTTTTAATTTAATTAGAACCCTATATTAAAAATTTAATATAAATTTAAAGGGTTCGCAACTTTATATATTCTGGTTAAATAAAAACTTACCGGCTCTCTATTACTATTTCAGTTTCTATTCAGATTCAAAACCAAAGTTAAATATGTGAAATGATACATATAATTAATAATAAACAGTTTAGCGAACTCGAAGGTTGGATTCCGAATCGATCAATCGCTGTCTATTAATTTAAAATTACGACTCCATTAAAAATGAATGAGGAATGAGATTTAAAATACAAAGTAATTACTTATTTCTTTATAATATTCGTTAAGGATAAAACTGTGGAGTATATGTCATACAGTTTTAAACTCTCTTATCTTTCTTTAAAGCGTCAATATTTCAATCTGAATCCTAAATAATTTAAATTAAAAATGAGTAAAAACAATTTTTTATTTTTTGAAAATTTTTAAGTTAATTAAAATATTTAATTAAATTATTCGATGACTTAAGGTACCAGAGGTTCATTCCCACAGATTAGACATCTTAGATAAGTAACGTCCATTAACCTCTCTGCAAACTCAGCATGACAAATGATCTTGGACCCCAACGCGGGACTGATAATAATTTATTCATTCATGAGACTGGGCTTTGCGGAGGTCCAAAGAGGTAATTCTGGAAAGACATGCATGATACATCAAGGGCATTCTCCTCTGAGGTGTTCGTCGGTTGCACAAAGGAAATTGCTGCCGAGTCAGCCCGAGAATCAACCGTCTGGTCGGGTTAATGATCGACCCATTGTGCTCAACATTTAGCAATGGGAATCGAATCAACATTTCGAGGTGAAGTATGTTCGAAAAAGATAAATAAATAGCTCTAATACTTTTAGTAAGAAGGAAGGAGAGAACCCTTTTCAAAACCTTTTATAAACTTATAATGGGATTGATGATGGGTAAATGCCATCGCAACAATGAAACTAACGATTTCAGTCGCTTTATCGCCAACAATAGTAACAGTATAAACATTGCCAACCCATCAGTTTTTTTTTATCATTCTAAAATTAGAATAGGTGAGCCAGGAGAACATTGGCCCATTTTTTTTTTCAACCAAAATTATTGTTGATATTTTTTTTTAAATTTCCACAATTTCTTTATTTTTACTGACATTTAACTATATGTGTAATATATAGCAAGGGAATGTATTGGGGAACCCGAGCGCGCACCAGAGGTTGACCGAAGGGTTATAATAGTCTTGCTTTCGTCCTAACACATGGCTAATATAATGCGGGCTCCGATAACACTCTATACATGTGCATGTGTGGTTTTCATAAATGTTAACGCTACTATTATTTAATATTTCATTGTATAGATTACAGCAATATAAAAAATACATAAATAAATAAAAATATATAATCGTAAAATGCAATGGTTGGTGATAAAAAACGTAAGTATAATACATCAGAACCGTCAGTGATTTTTACTTTATCTTTCCTTTATCTAAAAATACCTATTTCTGCTAAAAGAATGGTGGTAAGTAAAGGTTGTGGTATGCGCGCACCACTCCAGATTTTTTATTTTTTTCGACTCTAGAGACCATCGGCGGAAGCACGAGAGTGTCGTATAAAACAAAATATGAAAAGGAATTCAATTGATTTTAAAATTCTATACAATTTTTTCAGGCAAGCATTACTGAAATAGTAAAAGTTCACATAATCTGTTTCTCACACAAAGATAAGGAAAATTATGATCTTAGTGACGACCCTCTTACTTCTCCCGATTTTTTTCTTCTTCGGGTTAAATATCCCAAGTGCGGTTTTCAACGGATCTATACGTTTCACAGCCCCCTCAGTCCGAATAATATATTTCCAGCCATTGGGCAAGATTATCTCGGGTCTTATACAAAACTACATTAAAATAATTCATTTCGGACAACTATAAACTAAGTTATAGACAGCTTTTCAATTTCGTAAGTAAGATTACTACCTCGAATCCCGTTGTCAGAAAGAGATGAAAGAGAGAGAAAAAAAAAAGAAAAGTAAAAGAATCTGATACCCACATCGCAAAATTTCAATTTCCTCTCTACTTTAAGAGGAATTACTCTCTGTGAAATTAGACAATGAAAAAAATGGTTTTTTTTGATTGCCTATATTAAGGTGTATTGAATTGTTCACGCTGATCTTCCACAAGCCGTTTTAAATTGTTTTAATTTATCAAAGAAGTCGTAGTAAAATCTTTTCTTTGATAAATTTTTAGGAAAATAAATCTAATTAAATTTTTGTTTCGCTTAGTTTTTTAATGGATACGTTTATAACATATAAAATCTTTTCTGAAGTCGTGTGAGAGCACACACAAGATTTTTTTTTTTAATTTGAATGGATTTACTTTAACGAAGCGAAGCACTACTAAGAATTCCAGTAATTTAGTAGTGTTTCAAGTGCACGAGTATCCAATTAGTTTACAGTAAGGCAAAGGAGGATTATCAAAGCAGTATATAAAATATTAGTTTTAATTGTGGTGTTACACAAGCAATTATAAAGCGAAGTGAGCCACTTTGTGCCCCACAATAGGGGCATGCTAACGGACCCTCATCCCCTTCCCGGCGAGACAAAAGAGAGATGGATAATAGAAGAAAGCTCTCAAGAGGTGACGCACGGCTCCCGAGGGCTGACTAATAACAGCCTTCCTAAATGAGAGTAGTTCAGCTTTATCCAATCCCAGCTTCCCTCCAGCGATACATTAATCCCATTAACCGCTCTTAAATACCTTTTTCCAAAATTACATAAACCATTTACGTTAAACAACCACTACAAATCAAAAATATGTGCATCTAAAGAAGATGTACACTAATAATAATAAAAAAACAATAGATAGATCACATTATTATCATAAATAAATAAAAATTAATTGGCCCATGTGAAAAATTCGCAGACAATTTTATTTAGTGAAGGAATTGCAAATAAGTAGATGTTATGTATATGTGACGGGGAATTAATTGTTTTTCCTTGGTCGATTACAATATTACATTTAACACAATAGACCAACATATTTGTACGAACTGCTTTTAAGAAAAAAATACATCCTTTTTTGAGTTATTCGAAAATAAAATTTATTTTCTTTAATAACTTTTATTCTATAAATATTGGGGGGATGTGACTATTTTTCGCATGCAAAGGAGAAGAATATCTTCAAAATGAGTGGTGTATCATTGAATTTGATGAAGAATTGACTAAGTTATGGCGTACCGACCAAAAAAAAACCTTTTAGAAATAATTTATAAAACTAATCAAATTAAAATCAACCAAATTCATAACAAATAAATTTTCAAGGTAGTATTATCCAGATACCAACATGAACGACAGGATTGCAAAACAGTTCTATATTTATGTCATGAAATTGACTACAGACAAACACGAAATAATAAAATTCATATAAAAATCTTTTGAGGAGCAGTGGAAGAGGCACGTAAAACCTTGAAAGTTTGGAAGAATGTAAAAAAATGGCAGAGGAAAAGAGAAAAATCAAGACCACAAAAGACATTTCTTTAACTCAATTTACATACAAACTTTGGACTCTAACATTATTTTGAGTCATTGTAGAGACTCCTTCAGGTGAGAAAAAAAATGAGGTGGAGACTAAAAAGTAGTGATGATGAGAGACCTCGTTTCTTAAACAACAAAGGTAAAACAGGACAAGCTCCAGGATACAATCCTTTCTGATGCTTGAGCACGTCATTATTTCAGTAATCAGTTGGATTGATGTTTAATATATGCATATATGCAAAAAGTCATTAAGTAAAATTTCATAAAATTAAATCACCAACTGAATTGATAAATGGTCAATCTTTAAAATCAAAACCTACTTAAAAAAAATGTTACAGTAAGTATTACAGTAAATGTTACAGTTTATATATATATATATATATATATATATATATATATATATATATATATATATATATATATATATATATATATGCATAAAAGTTTATATATAAAAAGATTTGTGTCGTTTTGATGTAGTGCTGTTTGTTTTGCATCGATGAATAAAGTCTGTATTTCGAAAAACTTACTTCAAAGCTACAAAAAACATTGATATGCATTAAATTTTTTTTTTTTAATATATTTTCGCAGTTAGTTTATTTTTTTATTTTCAAATCTCCATCCAGACATGATAGTGACAATTAACAGATTTTTTTTATGTTATAAATAGAGACAGCAATAGATTTTAAACGAAATAGCTACAACTGACATGCTCATCAGAAGGCGATAGGGAAAAGAGCTGGATGAGAGATCTTTCCTGATATAAAAAAGTAAACAATGGCCAAGGAAGAGGTGCTGCTGGGTCCTATTCTTCATTATGCCTAAAGCTTTATTAAAAGAAAAAAAACATATGTACCAAAACAAAATGATTTGGAATCAGTAATAAAATTCAGAAGAAATTATAATTTAAAAAAACGGGTAATCTTAGTTAACTATTGATTATTTCACTAATCAACTATAAGAGACAGATGAAAATGACAACCCAGAAGGATGGTCTAATTGTGCCGACTCTGACAGGCATCAAGCCTCAGTTATTGTTCGACAGCTCACACTATTAATATAAGGGGAGGAGGAGCTTGGGGGTTTTATAATACCCAAATAGGAGGGGTTCATTCATCACGTTCGGAGCCCCATTCAAAACGGGTCAGGGTCGGTTTTTGAGGGCACTGGATCAAAAGATCAGCAGGAGAGGACGACTGTTCAAATAATTTTTACAAAAATATTAAACAGGACAAAAGTAAAAATACAAAATAAAATGTGGAATTTTAGTTTTTTTATCAATTAACAGTAGAAAAATAGAAAAGAGTGAATGAAATACACAACACCCAGAGACTCTCAAATAGGAGGGGAAAATGTATCAACAACTCCTTAATCTTTAAATTCGGAACCTCCACACCAAGAAATACCGTGTAGCGTTTTAGAAAAGAGAGGGGGAAATATATCGAGAGGTTATAACCCAATATTACTAAAATAATAAAAGGGGAAGATCGTGAAGGCCATAATAAACGTAGAAAGTTCATTAAAAAAATAAAATCACAGCGTTAATACTTAAAAAAAATTCAAATTTGAAAAATCTTAAAGCCAAAATAAAAAAAAAAAAGTTTGGAATCTTGAGAACCTACTTCAAGCAGAGAAAACAAACATTTTCTCTCCAATACCTTAATTCGCATCTATCATAAATGTGAAAAACTGTAAATGTATTGAATTTGGTTTTAGAATTTCAGGCATGAGATAGTACCCAGCAGCAGATCTCTTCAGGTGTTAGTTTAGTTCCTTAATTCAGAAAAGGAGATCATTCATCCAGTTTCTTATCTGTCACCTGACTCGCAGGTCCAGCTATGGTCATGCCTTTACCTTTACTCAATCAGCAGTTATGATGGAAAAGAGAACAAAGAGTACATATGTGTTAATCGATGTTCGTTGTTTTAATTAGTTATGTAGAATTTGTTAATAATAATTGGTCACTAATAAAAATGATCCATCAGTATGCAAGGAGTAAGTGGTATTAATATGTATTAAGTTGCAGACTGATTTTCAATTTTGATGATTTAAAAAAAGGGAGTACAGTAATTTCAGTCGTTTGTTTGAGATCATTCGATTTATTTTGAGATCATTCCTCCACAGCTCATCCTTCTGTCAAATGTGTGCAGCATTTAAGAAATTTGACTGTCGTCAACAAAACCTAAGTTCGCCAAAGTTTCAACATTATGGGCTGTGAATTGTCTAAAGAGGTTATTCTAATATCTTTTAAGATGAGACATCGTAATTTCATCGATACAGTGTGTGTTCGAATAAAAA